CCTTCACATCCTATGCAAACACGAACCAAATACATCACTGATCTATTAACCAAAACCAATATACTATCAGCTTGATGAACCCTTAGTTCATCAGGTTTTTGAGCATGAATTAGTATAAATTTGTATGATTAAATGGATGAAAAAGAGGTCAATGTCCTATAAATTCCTAAATACAAGTTCTGGAAGTTGTATTGAAAATTTACATTGTTCTTGTAGGGAATTGAAGCTCAAAGAAGCAAAAGAGAGAAGGAAGAAGATTCTGAAAATTGGAAAATTGGAAAATTCTAAGTGTTGGGTGCTAAAACGCCCAAAACTGAGCGTTTTAGCGCCCTGCTGCACAAAAGATGTTGGTGCTGAACATTAAAACGGCCAAAACTGGGCGTTTTAGCGCCCAAGACAGTTAAAAGCAGTTAGGCATCCGTCAAGGTTGAGCGCTAAAACGTCCAGAAATGAGAGCTTTAACGCCCATGTCAGTTTTCAGTTGTAATTTGTAAATTATAAAAGGACAAGGGGCCTTCACAAGATGATCATCAGATTCAACTCTCTCATATCTATTCTCTGATATTCTGACTTTTCCCATCACACTAGGAGAAGGAAGATCAGGTCAGGTCTTTCATAGATCTGATCTGACTCCTCATTTTCTCTGACTTTCCAAATTCTTAGGACTTAGTATTGTAATAGTTAGTATACTTTCATGTAATTGTACTTGAAGATTGAAGACTCAACTATCATGACAATGGAGTTTGATCTTTCTTCTTCTTCTCTTGTTATTATTTGTATTATGTCTGAGTAGAGTCCTTTGTAGTCTGATTCAATGGAACTCAAGTTTGAATTTATGAATGGTTAATTAGATGTTTTGTTTATCTATTATGTGATTGTATGAAGTTGTCTTGATTAATTCTTCATGTTGAGGAATAGTGTAGAACATACCTGTTTACATTGTTTCTCTATTTTTGACAACTTCATCATCAGTGTTCTAGTAGTCAAGGGATTGATGCTAGGATTCTGATGTGATTTTAAGACCTTAGTAATTAATGCATGTATTAAGAAAGAAATCACCAAGGAATTGGGGTTTCTGATTAATGTGTCTATCAGGGTAGTAAGGGATTACATCTTGAGATGATAAGAAAAAGGTTGATCAACATCACATAGTAGATAATTCATAATGGAAATTGGTTCATCTATAAATTCATGTTTGAGGGAAAATGACATTTGACTACTTGTTTACATTATAATTTATTTTTTATTTATTTATCAAGTTTTAATTCAATTCAGTGTAGTTTCTGGTGACAAGAAATCTATGCAATCTATGAACTTTTGTTTGATTCAACTCAAGTACATATGGTTAGTCAGTGCTTGACACAAATCCTCGTGGGAACGATCTTTACTCATCATTTTATTACTTGTACGACTAGTACACTTGCTAGATCCGCAACAAGTTTTTGGCGCCGTTGCCGAGGATTTGTTCTTCAACATTGACAGACAACATTAATATTTGAGATTGAATCTTTTATTTTCAGCAATTTATATTTATGTGTGAAGTTTGTATTTTCTGGTCCAGAGCACTAAAACGTTCAGACGTGACCATTTTAGCGCGATGCGATGCACATCAATGTGCACATGTCTCTGGAGACCAGCGCTAAAACGCTTGATTTCAACGTTTTAGCGCTGGTCCACTCATATGGTTTACATGTTTCTGGGTAGTTTTCTCTTAGATTTATTTTGCTGTTAATTTAGTTTTGTAATTCAGTTTAGTACATTGAGATAATTACTGTTTTGACTGATTCACATTGCGATAGTACTGATGCTATTGGGTTATGTATAATGTGTTTCAGTGATCAATTGCTGTTTTAGATTTGAATTAGTTGCTGGGGACAACAACATTTAAATCTGGGAATTGGGTGTGATTGAATGGCATGCAAATTTCATGGAGATGTCACACAAATTGATGAGCCAAAACAGGGAAACATCTCAATCTCTTTTCTTTTCTAAGTTTTCTGTGTGATTTAGATTTTAGCTGTAATATTGAATTTGGATTTCAGTTGTGATATGGAATTCCATGAGGATTTGACTGATCAAAGTTTTATATGATTGATCAAATCAAGGATACAATCTTATACCTTGCATGTTGAGCTTAAATAAAATGATTGCATGACTCATTCAATGTGTAAGAGTAGAAAGATTAGTTTTGATGCATATAGAGAAAGTCAAGCATGCACTCTGAACTGTGAGGAAATTGAGCCTATACAGAAAATTTTGTTCAGAGAGCACTTCACTGCATGAATAGCTCTAGAACTTGCCCTGTTTCTTGCTTGAAATGGTTGATGATGTGTAGGGTAGAGACATTTCCTTCTTGAACCAGAAAGTCAAATGGCCAACCTTTAAGTTTCAATTGCATGAAACACTTGAGCCTAGCCTGTTGTCTATCAAGCCAAGAACCACATTTATTCCAATCCTTCAGATTAAAAGTTTCAGATAAGTGATAAGGGATGGAGTGTTCTGTGGGGAGGAAAGTGTTTTTGCAATAAGTGAATGCAAGGTGTTGGAAACATAAGAAAGAAAGAAGGAAAAAAAAGAAAAGGTTGTGAAACACAAAGTGTTTGGAAGAGACAGAGGGAAGTATTAAAGACACAAAGTGTCTGAAAAAAAAAGAAAAAAAAAGAAAAAAAAAAGAAAAAAAATTTGTTAAAGACACAAAGTGTCAGGAAGAAAGGTTCAAAGAAAAGAACACGGAATGAAAAGGAAGAAAGTTGAGAGAATTAGGAAGAAATTGATTAATTACTGTAAATTCCCTCTTATCTGAATCCGATTCATTTGATCTGAACTTCCCCTTTCACAGAAATCTTTACCTCTAGTCAAGCCACACACCAAGCCTCATTGCTAATCATACCAAAACCTTTTTGATCTACCTTATGGATCATTGTTACTATGAATAGTGAGAAGATGGGCAAGCTTATGGTAGTTTGAGTGCAGTGAAGAGTGAGTGATAAGTACGTCCTTAAACACTAGTGTGCAAGAGTGTTAAAATTCTCATAATTTTTGAGATGTTCCTAGTGAGGGGGTGTTGTTGTTTGGAAGTCTATGTATATCATCTTTACTGATCTGTTGAAAAGTCACAAATGATGTTGGGCAAATCATAGGAAATAAGAGATTGCATGGTTATAATTTTGTATCATGAAATGTTGATCAACAGATTTGCATGCAGGCACTGATCGAACTCAAATTTCATGCAAGTCTCTGTATAACATTTAAACCCATGCTTACCCCTATGATTGCTCACCAGAAACTATCTCTCGAGGGTGATGCTGCCTTCTCTGATCCCACTCTCTATAGATCTATCGTCGGTGGCCTCCAATATGCAACCATTACCAAACCTGACCTCTCCTATGCTGTCAATAAGGTCAGTCAATTCATGCACAACCCACTTGAAATTCATTGGAAGGCAGTGAAGAGGATCCTTCGATACCTAGCCGACACTCTCACCCATGGCTTAAATTTTCATCCTTCCACTAATTCCAGACTCATAACATTCTGTGACTCTGATTGGGGATCAGACATTGATGATCGCAAGTCCACCAGTGGTTTCTGTGTCTACTATGGCAGCAACCTAATTTCCTGGACCAGTAAGAAACAACATGTTGTTTCCCACTCCAGCACAGAAGCTGAGTTTCGCAGCCTAGCAGCCACCTTAGCTGAACTGATCTGGCTTCAATCTCTTCTCTCAGAACTTCGAATTCCTTGTCCCACTCTTCCAACCGTGTTTTGTGACAATGCAAGTGCAGTCCAACTGGCAGCCAATCCCATACTTCACAATAGAACCAAACACTTTGAGTTGGATCTTTATTTTGTTCGTGACAGAGTTCTCCAACGTCAAGTCTTTATTCAACATCTTCCAGGCACTGATCAAGTTGCAGACATACTCACCAAACCTATCTCTGCTCCTAACTTTACCAGATTTTGCTACAAACTCAGGGTTCATGCTTCACCGCTGAGTTTGCGGGGGGCTGATAAGCATATACCACAAAAATACTGTAACCAATCATTATTATGTTATTAGTTAACGGTTATAGTTAGTTAACTCTTCCTATTATTTTCTTGTTCATCTGCTATGAATATAGAGCAGTGTGTACTCTCTTTAATTAATCAATATACAAAGTATTATTCAGTTATATGCTTTCCTTTCTATCTTTCCTTTCTATCTTTCTGTTAGAACTCTCGTTTGAGAGTTTCTTGCTTCCTGGGTCTAATACCTTTCACTATCGCAGGATATATAGTATTTAACAGGCAAGTTGCAACTACGACAACAAAAGGACTGGTGAGGATACAATGCAAGATCCCTTTCAGATGGAGTTAGTTGGATTACACTAATCTACTTCAGAAGCCTTTCTTCTGTTTTTTTTTTTGTTTTTCCTTCAAGGAGCACGCCAAGTAATATGCCATTGGACAGAAAAGCATACATAAGCTTATTTCTTCTCACAAGTTGCATTTATAAAATGATATCATCTACGCATATCCTTGTAAATAAAAAATTGCCTAACTACGTACGCTCTTTTCATGCACCGAGAGGATAAGAGGGTGATGTTCCCACTTCCTATCAAACATAACAATCAATGACCTTACTAGCATTTACCAAGGTCCTCCCAACTTTCTCAATAATTTGCTTATAATTTATTTTGTCTTTTTGGAAAAGTGAGTTTTATTAAATCTTATAGTACAATTCATACCGTTTGAATCCTCCAATTTTTATTTAATACTTGCAATCTATATATATATATATTAATTTATTAAAACATTCCGTGTTCTATACTTCTATCACATAACATGAATAACAAATAATTCAACAATAACCAACTTCACTGTATACTCATCAGCAACAGAAACTTAAAAAATACGTCATCTGCAAGAAGTTTCCCACTCTCCTTACTCTGAATTTCTAATTCTCTTTTCTTGTTTTCAGATGTAAAATTAAACATTTATGTACATAATATCACACAAATGATTCACAACCGGAAACTTGACTGTTTTCTACATACAAATTCATCAGTGGTGGAAACTTCAAAAGGGGTTTTAATCTGCTCAAATCTTTCTGATATAAACAAACTTTGCAAGTTTTTCAGCTCTGTTAAAACCCTGACTTCTGCTGTAAACATTGCCTTAACGGGTCTGTGATCTGATAGTTTTGATTCACTTCTAGTGTACTCAAGTTGCTTTAACCCATTGCCGTACCATACTATTCGATCACACCTAAATTAAGAACAAACTATAATTTAATAATTATTCAACTGTAAATGTTTTGAACTTTGGTTAATGGATTGTATAATATTTGTCTCTTACCATGCTGGTGCTCGCTTCTTTTCTGTCTTTTTTCCATGATAAAAGCATCCATAGTACATGTCTGAATTTAGACAATATTTGTAGGTAGGAGCAAATTTGATTGCTCCTTCATTCCATCCTCTTAACATGTTTCCAGTCATTAGCTCCATCATTAGCTTCATTTCAATTGGATATAACTTAGATATAATGTAAACAAATTTAAAGAATTTTTTTTAAAAAAATTTCAAGAAGACTTTTCAATGTCCAATTGTATATACCTGATCATTTTCTAATAAGGAATCCCAGTCTCTTTTTTCAACAAGTAAGCGTATCGTCTCTTCTGGTAGAGAGATTCTATAATTTAGATCTCCAAGAAATATTACATGACTGCACAAGACAAGGTGTGATTAGGTGGCTAAAATAATAATAAAATGTATATTGAAGCCCAACCAATTAAGTGCAAGTTGGGAGAGAGTCTATTTCATTAATTTGATGGTTCAATGATTAACATGAGGTCAACTATTAATGCCACTTGAATATATTTTTATAGCTGCAAACGGTAATCAGTGCAAATATATCTCTTCACAGCCTTCTGTTTGGATTCTTTGGCAACTTTATTTTTACTCACTGACCTATATAATATATAATATAAAGCAGAACAATTTTTTTGTATAACTTTATAAAGTTAATTAACTTTGTAAAGTTAAGTTTAAGGATAAAGGATTTCTCTAATTAACGGAGATAAGTTATTTCCAGTAAGCTCAAAATAACTTTGTTTTGGGACAGAAATTAAGGTGTTTTTGTAATTCTAATATATTGCAGGGTTATATTAGTCTTTATCATTATAATATTTTAATCTTATAACCTAAAATGATATCATTTTGAGTTCATTGGAGTGGAAAAATACTTTTCCCTAAGTTTAAACGTAACAACCAGCGAAGAATAATATATTACTGTTTTGGCGGCATTACATCTATTGGGACAAATTTTTCAAAGCTGGGAATCATTAATGATGCTTCTTCATTAAGAAAAATATTTATTTCAAGAGCCAGAAATCAAAACCAAATGAAACAATCTATTTAATATCTGCAGCTTGGTTTCATGATTTTTTTATTTATTTTTTTGGGAAAGGAACGTAATTATTAAAGAAAAAGCAAGAGGGGGAAAAAGAATTATAAGAATCAGTTTGGACGGTTTCAAACTATTGCAATTAATTACTTACTCGTGATCAAGAATGGTTCTTGGCAAATCAAGCAAAGGGCCTCTAGGAAAGCTTGTCCTGGAAAAAATGTCAGCAACATTTAAGTTCCTATACTTCTCATCCCCTTCTCTGCCCCCGGAAGCTAAATGGCAGCACACAAAGCAGAAGCTTGTTTCATGTAACTGAAATCTCACTGATACAGAACCCTGCAAATTAATATTGGAGTTATGAAACAAAAAATGTGAGCTTTAGAATATTCATGATTATTGAGCACTATTTAGTACTTAAAAAAAGTTGATGTTGACAGTAATGACTTCTACATAGTGGAAAACAAATACATAAGTTTCAGGTGTAAAATTAATATTAATTCAGTGGGGTTTGTTAGGTCACCTTGTTTCCTAAGCAGCCCATTATGCCACAGCCAACACATGAGACACTTGGATGCTGAATGAATGGACAAAGATCTCTCCTCGTCCACACTGATATGAATATTCCAACCATTTGCTTGCTAATGATACAATGGAAATCGTTTGAGACTTCACCTTTTTCTTTATTATTGGGACAAATATTCGTCTTTAGCTCCTGTTCTCTATCATCATTTTGATCTTTGTCCCTATGATGTGTTCTCTTGTTCAAAGCTTCCCTGATTATGGAATTCCATTTAGTAGAAATCTCATTATTTTCTGATCCCAATACATTTGAAGCTTTTAGAGGCACTATTTCTTGAAACCTGGATTGTAAAATAGTAAACATAATATGTCAAGAAATAAATAATTATCAGATAAAAAAAGGTTTTAATTTCTTTATTTACACATTTCAAAACGTGTTTTTCTATGCTAGAAAGCCTAAAGCAGTTACCCAAGAACATAGATGTCATAGGAGCTGTTGCATGTTTCCAACAAATCCTCTATATTTAAATCTTCGTCTGGTACAAGCCCACCTACGTTCCATGTACTGACAAAAACACTTAACATGAATAAAGAAAAAAGAAATCAGAAAAGTTGAGGGAAACAAAAATACAACCGCAGCACCAGCACAGAATAGAACTAATCAGACATATATATATGATGTATAAGATAGAAAAGTACTATAATTAAAAAAATATGAAGGGGACATAAAATTTTCTAATAATTACTTGTATTTTGGTGTGTCCTTGTGATCATTGAGAATGGTTTTAGAGGTCTCTTCAATGTCTGCAATACCCAACAAGGGTTCTTCATAACTAGGATAATCTGCTACAAAGTTGCTGCTTCCCAGTCGTTTCTTAAGTATCTTATTAGCCACTAATGTAGGCCACATGACCTAAAGAAATGGCATATATATATATAAAAGGAAATCAAATTAATGATAGAGAGATGGAGGAGAAGCTGGGACTAAAGGTGCTCAGTTTTGCATGCTTTCCTTGCATGGTAAGGTAGTATTTTTGGTGATAGAAAGGATTATATGTAGAAAATCCCAGAGGAATATAGGGGAATGGAAGAGATCATGTTGGGGAAGGGAGAGGCTTCTGCAGCTTGAAGAGGAGGAAAGCTTTTCATGTGACGTAAAATATGATGCACCTTTGGCTACATTGTTCTTAATATATTTATATATTTCAATATAGGGAACATTGTTCCAGTGGGAGAGAGATGGAGAATGCTAACAAAAACATGGGTCTACACTTCTTAACGGATTTGAATTCTTCTGTTTGTTGAGTTGATTTTAAAGGATATCTTAATGGTTTTCCCATATTTAAATTAGTGGAAGATGGTGCAAGTGGGAGAGTGGTCCATAACAAAATAGGCAAGTAGTAAAAGTGATCAGTAGCTAGGCTAGCTATTGCCCCATGTCTACAGGTCGCCAATTTTCCTTTTTTTTTTTTTTTAAGAGATATTCCAATCGGTTCATCGTTTCGCGACTAGTCCGATTTGAGGTGAATCTCAGAATTAAAACTTTAAATTTCTTCCAAAAATGATACTGAGGATGATCAAACACATGCTCTCACCCCATGTCTACAGTAGCCAAGTTTTTGTTGACGTGTGAATAAAACATGGGACTTTTTTTGTTTTTTGGGTGCTGAAAGATGGACTTCTACAGCATTGGGCTCAATCATATAACTAAACATCTCTCAACTTTCAGCGTGTTATGATTATAGTTTATTTATTTATTGCATTGACAACTTATGTAATTGTTTTAATGGTTTATATATTAGTATTATTTTAGACAAAACTTTTGGTAACAATCATTTATGAATATGCTTTTGACGCGGACTTCTTTTCATAATTATTTTGAAGGAGATTGTTCCCAACCAAATGAGATATTCTGAAGATTCCAATTGTGATTGACACGTTATTAAGAACTATATTTGAGAGTCTTGCCGGGAATTCATTAAGATGGAACTACATCTTCATGTCAATTAAAGTACATGCCTTCTAAGAAATCTTCCCATCCCGTGGTTAAATATTTTACGCCAAGTACAACTTAAAATCATTATATGCATAAGTTTAAGTCATCCTATGTTGTATCTACAAAAAAAAAAAAAAAAAAAAAAGTCATCCTATGTTGTAAAAGATGGACTAACTTTAAGTATCTGTCTTCCTTAGTTTTAGACCTCAGGGGTCCTTGAGATTTTATTTTATTTTTTGACTTCATAAGATATCTTCAATCAAGTGTGAGATTATATCCTTTTTTTTTAAGAAAAAAAATCTATATTCATTCATCAATTACTCTTTAATTTTTTAAATTAATATAAAATGATATAATTATGTCATGAGAGATTATACTTACAATTTATTTTCCGTTACAACCATTTTTTTATTGTTAGATAAAAATTAAAGAAAAAAATATTTGTCCTTTTAAAGGATATAACTTTGTATCATTTTATATCCTAACCGTTGATTTCTGTCAATCAATGGTTAGGATTTATTGAGTTGTTTTTATGAATTACTAATTAATTAATAAATTTGACCCAATAAATCCCAATAAATTTATTAATTAATTAGTAATTCGCAAAAAAAAAAATCAAATAAATCCTAATTATTGATTGACAAAAATCAACGGTTATGATCTAAAATGATACAAAGTTATATCTTTTAATTAAAAAGATAAATATTTTTTTTCAAAATTAAATTAATATTATGATTTGAATGACATATATTGGGTGATGAAAAAAACCATCTTTTCAACTCAAACCTGATATTCATAACTCATTAAATTCCAGCACTTGTTGTTCGCTTTTGCTTGTTAAATATGAATTTTTAAACCATTTTATTATACTTTAATTGGAAAATATTATACTTATAACCTATTTTCGTTTACAACCTCTTACAATCATATCTTAACCGTTGATTTTCGCCAATCAACGGTTAAGATTTTTGCAAAATAAATTTGTTAATTAATTATTAATTCGCAATAAATGATATCGTTGATTGGCGGAAATCAACGGTTAAGATATGGTTATAAGAATTGTAAACGAAAATAGGTTGTAAGTATAATTTTTCCCCTTAATTAGTATTACCCAAAATGTTTAATCTTATCGACTATAGGGTTAGACTGACCAAGTCGTATCACATATTTTCTCTCGTTTGAGAAACCTCATTAATAACTCAGGCTAACCTGAAAAGCTACGTCCACCTACTACTTTTTTTTTTGGTAAACAAGAGGGGCATAGCCCCACCAACAAGAACTAAACACAACAAAGACAAAAAACAGAACAAAAGAAACTATAGAAACATAAGAAAACAGAACAGAAAAGGACCAAACTAGGGTCTTCAGCGTCTGTGAGCAGCAGGCATCTCAAGGCCTGGATCCAGAAGGTTATCCGCAAGCTAATTAATGAGCTCACTGTGGAGAGATGAAATTGTTTTGAGACTATAGGAATCATCCATAGCCTTCTTCGCAATCCAATCAGCACAGTTGTTACTAGTCCTAGGAACATTCTTCAACAGGACAAACCAATCTTTATTGAGAACGGCTCGAATCTTAGCTACCAAATGGAGATTTCAAGTTTCATTACCATCAATGGTAAGAAGGCTAATAGCTTGAACAGAATCAGACTCCAAAATAATATTCTTCCAACCATACTTCCAAGCAAGATCTAAACCACGTAGAATGGCCCAGAGTTCAGCTTGCAAAGGGGAACAGGAGCCAATGAAAGCAGAAAAACCGCATAACCAAGATCCATTCCAATCTCTCAAGAGGCCACCACAAGTAACTTTATTATCCGAAGCCGCACCATCAACATTTAATTTTAAAAACCCTTGAGATGGAGCAGTCCAAGAAGGGAAGGAGAGAAGGGGAGGTGCTATTAGAAGCTCCTGGTGTTTACTTTTTATACTGCAGTACCTTATTTCCTCTATTGATTCAGTAAGAACAGAAGAAGGATCGTCTGGTCTCTTCATATTCACTTCATGAAGTTCTTTATTCCTCCAAGACCACAGGTAGTTGCAGACAGTAAAGAACAGGTCCCTCCAGTCTTTACCATGAATATTCCTCTGGTTCAAATTAAGAGAAATCCACTCCTTAAATGAGGTGGAGCTAAAGAAACCGTGAGGAAGAGGGTGGAGCATTGGGATAAGCCAAACCTTACTAGCTTTGTGACAGTCTCTGAAAGCATGTAAGCTGGTCTCCGATTTCTCAGGACACGAAGGGCAGCTATCAGATGAGTCACTCCATTTGGCTATATTTTCTTTGGTTAACATTCTTCCATGGTACATATTCCATATAAGAAATTTGACCCTTTCTTTTCCTTTCCAGTTCCAGATGCGGTCCCAACTGCTATTAATAAGATGAGAATTTGAAGTGCTCAAGTTGATGTAAGCGGATTTGACTATAGACTGTCCCGGTTTCCTATTTTTCCAGCTAACAAAATCCTCCCCTGCTTCCTCTTCTGGATGCAGGATAACTATAATTTGATTCACCACACTCAAATCAAAATGATTAAGGAGGAACTGAATATTCCAACCCTCTTCAGATATGAAACTGCTATTATTAATCTTCAGATCCGAAGCCTCAGTTGTAGGGGAAACATTTGTAAAGGATATGAGGTTAGAGTTTAGGCCAGTCCAGTTATCCTTCCAGAAAACTATTTTCTTCCCATTTCCTATCTGCCATAAGATATTGTTTATCATGTCAGGCCAAATCTTGCATAAGCTTTTCCAAAAGTGAGAGTCATATGGTTTGCAAGAGACCTCCTTCATAAAATCTTTGTTTCTACCATAGGGATGGCTGATATGACTGATTTAGCCAGAGTACTTCCTGCCATAGACAAGCAATTTTTCTTCCAGCCTTGTAACCTACCATTAACCCTGTCCATAATTTCTCCATAATGCTACTTAGTAATTCTACCATGCTTCATCTTGTAGCCCAAGTATATCTGCCAATATTTTGTGTGTGTGCAAAACCACTGATCTCCACAATAGTTTTAGCAAGCTCAGAAGAAACATTCTTAGAGAAAAAAATGTTAGATTTGAGATAACTAACCTTTTGCCCTGACATATTTCCAAAAGTGGCAAGGCAGTTCATTATGGTCTTAATCTGGTCAATATTAGCTTCACCAAAGAGAAGTAAATCATCCGCAAAAAGAAGGTGAGAGATTGAGGGGCCACCTTTGCCAACTGTCATTGGCTTCCAATCTTTTCTCTCAATGGAATTAGCAATTAAGTGGGACAACTTTTCCATGCAGAGAACAAAAATATAGGGAGATATGAGATCCCCTTGTCTCAAGCCTCTGCTGGGGGAGACTCTGCCCGATTTAGCACCATTCCAAATGATTTCTAGATCAGAAGATGAGATACAATGCATGATGAGATTCACCAGAGAATCTGGGATATTAATCTCGGTAAGAACTTTCTGAATGAAGCTCCAGGACATCCGATCATAAGCTTTTTCAAGATCAATCTTGATTGTAAGAAAACCCTTCTTTCCTTTTATCCTATTCATAGAGTGGACCATCTCCTGAGCAATAACAATATTGTCCTGGATTTGTCTATTGGGGACAAAGCTGACCTGTTGAGGGGAGATGAGCTTATTTAGGATAGGTTTAAGCTTCCCCACTATGATTTTACTAAAACCTTTATAAAGCACTGAACAGAGAGCAATATGCCAAAATTGAGAAATCTTGTCAGGCTTAGTCAGCTTAGGAATTAGAACCAGGTAAGTTTTATTAAGATCCCTCACTTTAGCTGGATTTTTCCAGATCTGGTTCACACACTCAACAGCTTGATTCTTCATTAACTCCCAGTTTTTTTGGAAGAAAATAGCAGGGAACCCATCTGGACCAGGAGCTTTAAGACCATTCATTGAGAAGAAGGCCTCCTTTATCATTAGATCAGAAATAGGATCCTTTAGCACCTTCAACTCAGCTTCCTCAAAGGCAGGCCAGTTGGATTTGGTAACAGTCCATGGTCTGTTGTGATTCTCCTCAGAAAATAACTTGGTGAAAAAAGAGTGGATAAGCTTAATCAAATTATCTTCTTCTCTCACAAGGTGTCCTTCATCATTTTCCAATTCTAGAATTTTATTTCTAGCTCTCCTGATAATGGTGGTGGTATGATAAAATATAATATTACGATCACCATCTGTTATCCACTTACATCTTGCTTTTTGGAACCAAAGAGCTTCTTCTTGTTCCAAAACACGGTTGAGTTCATCCTGAAGGGCCTTATCCAGATCTGCCTGAACCTGGTCCAACTAGTTGTTGGTGTTCATTTGAGTTTCATGAAGTTTTTTGAGGAGGTAATCTTTTCTAACTTGAATGCACCCAAAATGGGGGGCTTTTATCTTCGCAATCCACACGCTTAGACGAAGATTTCTGGAGCTGAATTTGGAGTTGGGGCTTTTATCTCCTCTCTAATTGAGCAGGGTTTGAAAATAACCCCTCTGCCAAATGGTGGGTTTAAAAAATGTTCCTGCCACGTTTTAATGGATTAACTAAATGAGTTAATCGATTAAATATCACGAAATTTAATCGATTAAATATCTCGAAATTTAATCGATTAAATATCCCGAAATTTAATCGATAAAGTGGGATATTTAATCGATTAAATTTTGGGTCAACGTTTTTTTATATATTTTGACCACTTAACCGATTAAATATTCAAGTTAATCAATTAAAGAGGTGTAATCGATTAAAGAGGTGCAGGTTGGTGGATAATTTTGTGTAAGAGGCAAAATAGTTATTAATTAATTAATGAGGGGCAAAAAGGACAAAAATCCCTTTTATGTTACTATTATAAGTTTTCAACATATTTGGTTTTTTTTTTCCTGAGTATATTTTCTTCTTTTTGATTTAGACATATTTCATTTTTTTTCTTCTATTTTTATTTTTTTTATAAGTATTTTAAGTTTTCAACATATTAGTCTTATTTCTTCTTTCTTTTTTTTGTCATGACTATTTTTATTTTTATTTATTTTCCTTTTAATATTCAATTTATTTTATTTTTTGGACTTTCTTTATTTTATTTTTTACTTTTATTCTTTTCTACTACTATTATATAAGTTTTTAGAAGTGTAAATAGGTTAGGTCGTGCTAAGCTTTGGTTTAAATAAGTCAGATTTGTGTAAATTACTTTAGACCTGATCTGGTCTGTGAGTCTTGTGTAGACCCAAATTATAAATTTAGTTTGACATATGTTTAAAAAGCAAAAATCATAGCATAAGCCTGTTAGCCTATTTAAGCCTTTTAGTAGGGGTGGCAATACAGGTATTGACCCGCGGGTTGACCCGTGACCCGACCCGCCAAATCACGTGTCGTGTCAACCCGCGGGTCAAGGCGTGTCGTGTCAGGGTTGTGTAAATGTGACCCGTTTTTTTCGTGTCGGGTCACGTGTCAACCCGCGGGTTCGCGTGTCAACCCGCACAGTGTCATTTTTTTATTTTTTTATTAAATATTTTATTATATTATTATTTTTATTCATTTATATATTGATATATATAGTCATTGTTTAGTATAGAAAAGAATAGAAGGAACTAAAAATCTCAAAAAACAGAAGCTAATCTTTTTTTATTTTTATTTTTATTGTTTATTGTTTTTAATTTATTTATTTTTCAAAAAATATCACTTTTTTTAAAATTTTAAATTTTGCGGGTCGTGTCGTGTCGACCCGTGACCCGCAACGGGTCGTGTCAGGGTTTGTGTTTTGTGACCCGTTTACAAAACAGGTCGTGTCAGGGTCGTGTCAAATAGTGTACGGGTCGAAAACGTGTCGTGTCGTGTCGTGTCGGGTTGACCCGTATTGCCACCCCTACCTTTTAGGCATTCAATAATTAAAGTAACATTACTTCATTATTCAAAATTATTAAAAAATAATTTATTTATTTATTTAAAATCAATAATATGATATACGTCAACATGTATTCTTATAGGTTCGATATGTAAAAGTAAGATTATAAACTGCTTTTTAAATAGACTTTTTTATGAAGGCTAAACTATTTTTATTTGACTTTATATAATAGGCCGAATTCAAGCTAAACTTGATATTAAGACTTAACTAAGAATTTTATTAAAAAATTATTAAAATTAACATATAAAAATAAATTAATAACAAGTATATCTACAAAAAAACTACAATATGATTCATTCAAAAATATTGTCCACGGCTTCAATTGTGTGTTTAGAAAACGTAGGCAGAGCTAGATGCTATTTCAATTAAGGTCACGTTCTTCGTTTTTAATAATATCCATTTGGCGACATTAATACGCACACTTCCAATCAATTTTGTGCCGGCGTCTGTCTGGACCCTCACTCTTTTTGTTGTTGGTGTTTTTTATTTTTATAATAATAATGACATCATATTTGTCGTTACAACTTACCACACATAATTCAAAAACAGATGAATTTATAAAAAAAAAAAGGAAGATTATACTTACAACCTTTTTTTTACCACCTCTTACAACCATATCTTAATACCAACACCGTTGATTTTTGTCAATCAACGGTTATGATTTTCGTAAATTAAACTCATTAATTAATTGTTAATTCACAATAAATGATAACCGTTGATTGGCAAAAATAAACGGTGTTAAGATATAGTTGTAAGAGGTTGTAAAAAAAAATTGTAAGTATAACCTTCCTAAAAAAAATTGTTTCTTTTTTCGTCTTATCACATTTCTTTTTTTTAAAAAGTTGTAAGTATAATCTTCCTCTTTCTTTTTTAAAATACATTTCAATATATTAAATTATTGTATTTTTTTTCTTGAAAGTGATTATTTCTTAATTAATTATTTTTTAACTTTTAAATTTAATTTTTAAATTAATTATGCATATTTTATATATTTTTAATATTTTTCTCTTTTAATATTATTTTTTTATTTCCCTAAATTAATTATTCATATCTCTTCTAGAATTATTTTAAAAAATTAAATATTTTAATATTTATTTTATATTTTATTTGAATTTAAAATATTCATAAAACGCATGAAATAATTTTTAATAATTTATTAATTTTATCGTTTTCTTTTGTGATGCCTGTGCCCTTCTTAGCCTCTTAAGATTTTGAAGATTGACTTTTTCCCGAGATAATTTATTGTTCAACCCCAAGAGATGGGACAATAAGATGAAATTATTTGGGATTAAAATAAGGAGAAGGAAAATGGAGTACAGAGAGGCGAGGATGTCATTTTGTGGATTATAATAAATAAAAAATGTTATTTAGTATGTGTAATATTTTTTAATTTGTTTCGCAAATTTAAGAATTTAAATTAATTAGTTAGAATCACCCTCACTCTCTCAAATTTGGAGAGTTTTATGCAATAGGATTTGTCTAAATTAATTATTTATAATAAATCTCATTTATATAAAAGAACTCTCACTCACCAAAAAATAATAAACACATGCATGCGCGCATACATTGGATATAAAAAAAATGAATTATTTACGAGTGATCCAAGGATAAAAACAAATTCTATTATACAATTCATGTCAAATTATCGAAGTTGTGTGGGGTGTGTGTGTTAGGAGTGTGTGTAGTGTAGGGTGTTGCGTTCAATTCCTTGTAACCTCCAAAAAAAAATAAAAATTTATCGAAGTTGTTCAAATCAACGGTTACAAATATTGCATTATTAGGATAAAGAGTAAGAAAATAATAATTATTAATTTATTTATAAAGAAATAAGATCGTATCGGATATCCTGATCTGTTATAGAGATTTCCAACGTGCTTTATAACTCAGTGGAGCATTACTTATGAACAGGGGTTTAACGGGCCGAGCCGAGTCGAATCGAGTTTTGATCTTAGAAGGTTAAGTTTGTGTTTAAATGTGTTAGCCTAACCAAGCTTGTTACCTGTTATAAATATAATTATCGGCCTGTGCTCTGACTTATTTACAAAAAATAAAAGTTTGGTATAGTCTGTTTTAAAAAAATAAAACAACAAAAATTTATCCAAACAGAATATACAATCAATAACACTAATTATTCCATAAATATTCATAAATTCATTGTATATCCAAATAGCATAATATAGAACAAAATCATTCAAAAAGTCTATTTAACCAATAGAATGAAGTGAAATGGATTGAGAAGAAAGAGAGGACTATTACAAGTAGTACAAAAAATATAAAAAATAATAATAATATACTAGGCCAGCCTGAAAGGCTCTAAGGCCGAGCTTTTGAATTTGAGCCTTAGGCCTTTTTATTAAACGAGCTTTTATATAAGTTCAAACCTGATGTCAACAACCAATTTAGACATATAAGCTCAGGCCTTCACGAGCTGAGCCAAAGACTCCTAGTTCGTTTAGGGCCCCTACTTATGAACAATATGGGTTCATTTGGTTAACATAAGAACCGATAGGATAAAAGGATTGAATTAGGGTAGAATATAATATAGGTATGATAAGTTATCTTGTATTTGATGTATACTAGATAGCCAGTCAAATAGGATTATATTTTTTTTGCATTACATGAGAATTGAACACATATCACTACACTACACACACCTAACACACACACCCCACACCACTAGGCTAACCCTAGTGGATTCAAATAGGATTATATTATTCTATCATATGTTTGATTTGAATTAAATAGCGCTAGGATATGATATAAATAGACGAAAATACCCTCTATAGCATAATTTTATGGGTTCGTCTTTTCTAGATTGAGCCTAATACAACGTCATTTTGGAACGGAAATCAAGGTATTTTTTGTAATTATAATTTATTTCAGGGTTATAATAATCTTTCTTATTGTTATTTTTTAATTTTTCAACTCAAAACGACGTCGTTTTAAGAGTGAATATAAATAACTTATCTACATTGACTGTAGAAACATTAAAGCCTAATTTTATATACTTTTTAAATTTTTTTCTTTTAAATTATTTCTACATTAACTTTTATTTTTAATTATTCAAAATTTCTAAAACTCTTCTTTTATAAAAAAAAGTATATATATTTTATTATTCAGCACCTTCTTTCTCACGTCCCCCTCATCCTCCTTCCCTAGTTCATCCCCTTTCGGTTCACGGCAATGCCCATCACCCCAAACTGGTTATGGGGTATTATAATGGGTCTTCAAATTGTCTGGATTCTTCATATGAACAACTCTCAATTAATCTAGGAAATATGTACCGGGAAGGTTATATTTACAAACTTTTTGTTTACAAACTTTAAGGGTATGTTTGGTGCATAGTATTGGATAAAATCTGCTAGTATAAGGTCTGATTTTATAAGACCTGATTAAATTTTAATATTGAAATGATATATTAGCTCTTGAGAATTGTACTTGTAAGCAATATTAATACAACAATACTAATATTACCCCCTTAGGCCTGATTAAGTTATACATCATTTTGTTGTATTAAGGGGATCTGCTGTATAAGCTTATACTATACAATGGTCACATCAAACAACTGTGTCACAACGTATAGTATAAACTTATACTATCAAGCCTTATACATCACACCAAATAGGCCCTAAGGGATGAGATTAGGCCTGATAAGGGCACCTGTGTAATTCTCAATAATTAATATATTTTTAATTTAATATATTAAAATAAAAAATAATTTTTCAATATATTAATTTTTAAAATATTGGATATTTTTATTTTTATAAAAAAATATATTTTTTGGACACACTAATCAATAGATATTTATAAAAATTAATATCATATGACATATTTGGAAGAATTATATAAATTCTTTATTAAAGGATATTTTTGTCAAAAATATTTGTTCTATCTAGTATTATACAGTGCATTATCAAATACTAGATGATATTATCTTGTATAATATATTATCTTATACAATAGCATGCAAAATGCTGGATAATATTAAAATTTAATCAGGTCTTATACTATCAGACATTATCCTATATACTGTGCATCAACCATGCCTTCATCTTCGTCTTCACCTGCAACAAGGGGCTGGAGAAGGTGAATGTCTCGTGGAGTTTGGAGTGGTGGAGTTAAAGGAGGTGAATGTCGAGTGGTGAAGTTTTCTGCCCAAAGATCTCATTTATTTTTGTTATCCTATTCAGTTGAATCATAACTCAACCTACCCCTTACACTACAACAGAAATGACATTTCACCACGGCAATTTAGCAATGCGTAAAGCACGTTGCAATTAGTTAGCGCGTAGACCCGTTTAAATTGCTGGCCATCACTGCCACTGACTTCCCACTCACTACCCCGATTTCCCTGGATGTCTAAATACCCAAATACATTTCGATCACTTATCGTTCCATCTATTTGAAAATATTTTTTAATTTAGAAGGTTTGCTTTCTCTTTCCCCTATCATCTCTCTCTTTTTGAATTGAATCAATATAAGGCGTAGATCTATAAATTGAGCTGTGATTTTATGTTAATCTTATTGATCTATTTGATAATACAACATTGGTTAATTAGCGCTTCGTCTTCCATTTGTCTTAGTTGCTTCACTACATCATCCCTGTCCACACAACTACTTCGGTTAATTAATGTTGTGATCTCAAGCTCCTACTCTGCGTTTTGCTATTCTTGCTTCTAGTTTTGCTAAGAATCTCATCGTCGGAGTCGCATGAATCGAAGGTAGGGATTTCTTTTGGTTTGTAATTTTGGATTATCACTGCTTTAGCTTTAACTAGTGAAATTTCTGTTCTTAATTCAAATTGATTTAGCTTCAGCTGGTGAAATTGTGTTCTTATCTGAAAATGCCTGTTAAGTGTTTGACAAAAGGTTAATAGAATTGGACACTTGTTGGTTACTTTGGTACTTCTGGTGATTGTGTTGAGACATTGTTTATCTTGATAAATTAGTATGTTAATTCTTCTTGGCACATTATGAGAAAAAAGAAAGGAAAAAAATGTGATTGTAAAAGTTGGGTTGCTAGTTGACTGAACACGATTCTGATTTACAAATGATAGAGCATTGGTTAACCAGGTTTGGAGGACTTCGAGCACATATGCTACAAGGATCTTGTAATAAAGGATCAACAATGGAGTGCTTATATTGATCGTTCTCCTGGAGCTGCCAGTTATTCAGAGGTATTTTCTATTATCGCCCTTGCTTCTTTTACTCACCATATTAGTGATTGCAATCTGCAACTTAACTTGATGATGGTCTGATTTACTCTAACATTAAAGTTATTTTCTAATGATTTCTCTCTCTTAATTACTTTAATGTTTGATTCTGCGACCTTAAAGGAAAGGTTTCTATATGTTGAGTTGTTGTCAGAGAAATTTAGTGTTAGTTCTGAAATGAAGACAATGTTGGGGAAGAATGGCAATTAATTGCAATATGCTTGTAGCTTTTTAAATAGCTTAATTATGGAATGGTTGTTTTTACATGTTAATGATGATTAATCCCTTCCTTTAATGGAACGTTTCTATGCTTGTGTATCTGGCTGCGGTTACAAGGTCAGTATTGAATGGCTAATTTATTTTTCTGTTGTAGCAAGTAGTAACAGCTCGGAAAATCAATAAGCTTGATTTAAAAACATGTAAAGCGCATTGGTTGATAAAGAGTATGAGTATTTAGGAAAGAATTAAAAATATAATATTATTACAGGTAGTAATTTCACAAGATATCAATATTCTCTATAAAATAATTTACAAAAAAATAAATAAATTGTAAAATGAACAAGATTAATTTTACAAAATAAAAAAAATAATCAATTAAAAGTTTTGTTTACAGTATATATTTTTCCTCGTTCGTTTGGTTTCTGGTATATTGAATTGTAGTAGCTTGTACTTCATTAGTCATTACTTGGTTCACTTAGCATTTCCAAAGTGTTTTTTTCTTCTTTATTTTATTTTAATCAAATTTTGGTAGCTTGTAATTCATTGGGACTTTTTTTGTGAGTTAAATATATTTTCCTTCTAAAATATTTTAGATATTTTAAATGGATACTTGGCAACTGCAACTAACCTGAAGAATCCTGTAAACAAGTGGTGATGAGGGGCTGCTCCAATTGCAGTATGTCTATGTTTTTTTTTTCTTTATGTTTTTGCTTGAAACCCCTGTTTAATGGTTATTTATTATGCTTTTGTATTATATATCAATGCTTTTCATGGTAGAGAATGTTCAGTGTTTTGTCTGTCTATTATGAACTTCAGGCTGTGATGACAGTGAAGCGCTGGTCTCCAAATCCAGGATCCACATCAATTGGAAAACCTGCTATTCATCCAGCTACTGTTGACTTGAGAGGAAAAGCATGAGTAAGGCTTTTTGTCATGTTGTATGATGTATGTGTATATGCCTGCACATGGATATAAAATATAACTAGAGATTTTCATTTGTACTCTTCTTGGTCAGGTATGTGTATATGTACTTACTCCTTTCCTCTCACTATTTATATACACATTTTGTTTTTTTACCTCAGCTTGCTTGGTCTCATTTATTGGTTGTAAATTCAGGGCATGCTCTAATTCATGATCTTGTTTGCAGCATGTTGAAACTAAATGCAACAAGCTTTCTTATGGACGATATTTATAGAAATCCAGGTCCACTTCAGTTTGATGGTCATGGTGCAGATGCCAAGCCTATAGCTCTTTCTGTTGAAGACCAGGACTACATGGGTCGCATTAAGAAACTTCAGGTGTACCTTGAACAGGTCTTGAAACTCTCTGATTTTTTAACAGCACAAGAGCCTTTAAAACATAAATAATAAATAAATATGTCGCATTCACGAGTTAGTTAGAGTTTTGTAAATGCTTATGCTATAGCCTATTTAAATAAAAAATTCTCTTGAAATGTCTAAACTTATTTGTTAAATAAAAAATTATCTTGATATCTGGACCTTATGTCGCACCTTGGTCTACGTTGTTCATGGTCATGATCTGCTGGCATGCTTGGGGTTGGAGGAATGTGGCAATACATAAGAACCAAAATACGAACGAATAACAAAAAATTGAGGCAACAATGAAGTTGGTGAATTGGATATGTATGAAGCGTACTAGAATGGTAATAATACCGGGAAGGACTAAGCTCAATACAAATGACGCTGCTATGGGTAACCCAAGTCTAGTTAAGTGTGGTAGGATAATTACAGATTAGAATGGCAGCTGGTTAATTAGCAGGGTTTTCCTATCGAATTGGCCATTGTTTTGCTCTAATGACAGAGTTGGTGAGGATCATCAAGGGACTTGAGTTGGCCTAAAGTCGGGGTTGGAGACACCTTAAAGCGGAGAATGATTCTATAATGAGTTGGCTCAATGAAGATTAATGAGAAAGGAGAATCCATACTACATTATGGGCAAAGGTACTATAAAGCCTGTACCAATAAGAACTGTCGTGATCTTGTACCCTCCTTATCTTACCTCCAAAACATATGTAATATAAAATTGTTCGTGTTACCTATCAATTTAAATTTTTAAGATAATTGATTCGTGATAGACCCAAACCAATTGACCAGTTGATATACGATAGGGACGTGGATGGTAAGATGGCCAAAACGTCCTGGCATTGCTTAACACAATAGATTTATTCCCTTCATGGACCCCTCCCCCCTCCCCATCCACTACTATTGTTCCAAAACATTATTATCTTTTTTTTCTTTGGTACACTTTATTTTCTTGAGTTATGACTTAAAAATTCCTTTGAAGTTCTTCAATGGTTGCAGATTTTTAACCATCAAACTGACCCAGTAGTCATTTGTAATAGAATCTTGAAAAGCAGCAGAGTCTCATAACAAAGATGTTAATCGCTCCTTTAATTATGTAGCCTAAAAAATAAAATAAAATAAATTTACTTGTTAATTCTGGTGGATATTTCATACATATAAACTAACGACTAACAAGCTTATATTTGTTGTTGTTTTACCTATGCAAAAAAATCATGTGTTTGAAGTTCCAAATGGCTACAAACTGAAGATAATACCAGAAGCCCAGGTCTCTTATACTTTAGAAATATGTTTTAATCACCTAAAGTAATATAAGTTAGTGTTGCTATAATGAATATTATGAGAATGTTAGTCTTGTAACCCCTAGTCAAGTTGTTTTTGTTCTGTTTATTTAAAGAATGTTACTAATTCAAGTTCATGAATCTCAGTTTGGATTAATTCAGGTTTAGCAATCCAATTAGATCTGATTGAACAAGGTATGAAGGACAATGGAAGTTGCCTGGAATTACAAGATAAAAGATTCTCACATTCAGCTAAATTTAGTAGAATCATAGACCACTGACCACTTCAGATGTTTCCTGCGTAAATCATGGTTCACAACTTGTATCGGAGTTCACCTTAATAATTGTGATTACTAAAATGACAGGTTGAAAAAATGTTACAACCTTTGTCACATTTAGTTGTTTTAGGCTTTTATTGTATTATGTCGATGGCCTTATAAAATCTGTGTCCCTTCCCCCTCTAATCTTCGAGTTTTCCTTCACCTTTTTTTGACTTTTTTATTGGGATGATGTCCTTGTAACTGACATTGTAACACTGAGAGGAATTCAAGCAATAAATACGGATCTATTTAATTAATTACATACCTCTTTTGTAATTATATACATATACTATCCTTTAAGATCCACCAAATATCTATAAGCTTACACCCTTGGCTATATTGTAAAATGTATTTTGTTAAATTGTGTACTCCACTTTATTACTTGATTACTTCCCTTAATTTGGTTCTTGCATCAAATGCAATTTTTATTATTTGTTTTTTATATGATAAGGATAATTTGTAATATTTTTTATTTAAAAAAATTCCTTATATTTAGCCACGGTTTTGTTTGTGGCAAAATAAAACTTTTAATCATTGGGATCTAAATCATTTAGCCACGAAATAACGTGGCTAACATAAGTGAAACCGTGGCTAATTCAATGTTACCACGCTCGTTTTGCCCATGCTTACATGCAAAAAATACCGTGGTTAAAATAATGCAACGCCCATTTTAGCCACGGTTTTGCAAACAGTGGACAATTTGTTTAGCCACGGTTTTATTCATATTTTGCCATGATCTTTGTCGTGGCTAAAAAGCATTTCTGTTGTAGTGTTAGGATATGTTATTTGCTTCTAGGAAGGATACAATTAGCGAATAGGATAAGACTATAATATCTCATTAGTTTACCAAATATTAAATAAAAGTAGGATGTGATAATTTATCTTATCCTATTCTCTTTATCAGGTGCACCAAACAAATTCTACGGGAGCGGATTTTCAATCGTGCAGATTCATTGATGGCATTGAGATTGGGCACATAGCTGGTCGAGAGCATGTGTGCAAGAAATAAGACAATAGCAATTTATAATTAGATGATAAAAATTGCATTTATTCCTTTAAGAAAAAATTTAAATTGTTAAGTTTACAAAGTAAATTTGAAATCGACTTGTACATATTTCTCCATGGATATGCAGTGTGGGTTGTTGCCCGGCACGATAAACCTGCCTGGTCTGAAACCACATTGTGAAAGAGAAGACAAGAAGGAATAGTATGTAGAGGTTGCTTCTAGAGTTTAATATCATGCACTTCTATGAATTATTATATAAATTATGTCGCAATTGTACCGGTGCAATATTATGCACTTAATAAATTATGTTTCAGTTGCACAGATGAAACATATCAAGTGTAAATGCATTTCACCCGTCGATAGCATTCTTTTTGACGGACAGGTGTGACATTTTGGAGACTCCTTCGCTGTGGTCAATGAATCCCTTTTCAACCATTCAATTTATTTATTACACAGTCTGCTACCAATTATAGTTTAAACTTTATTATTTCTTCATTTTTATTAGTGAGAAAGAAATTAAAACCTCAATGAGTATCAAGATTCAAAAGTTGATGCATGGTTGAGATGTTGTGAACTACTTTGATGTCATGTTCTTGGTTACTGGTCTGTTATGTTGGTGTGTTTCATTTTGTTGAAGCAATAGGGCTGAGGTCCTATCTCGTGTGATGTATAATGTCTTATAATATAAGTTTATATTATATATTATGATATATTATACAGTAGAATCTTTTAATACATCAAAATGATGTATAACTTAATTAATCAGCCTTGATACATCGAAATGATGTAAAACTTAATTAATCAGCTTAATGGAGAGTGATATATTAGGCATGACAAGGGATTGATGTATTAATATTGTTGACCAGTACAATTCTCAAGAATTAATATATTAAAATAAAAATTAATTTTTTAATATGTTAATTTTTAAAATATTGAAGAATTTTTTTTTATAAAAAAATTATTTTTTGGACACACTGATCCTCCAAAGCATCGACTCATTATTTTTTTCAAAATGTGCATGTCGGACACGTGTCGGACAACGACATGCTCCGACACGCGGTCATCGCTCCGACACATTTTTTCGACACGCGATCAATGCTCCGACACGCATTCGACACCTTTTTTTTTACTTCTTAATTTTATTTTATTAACTAAAAAATAATAATAACTTATAAATCAATTTTTTTCTGTTATGAAATTTACATGAAAAATTAACAAGATACGAAAAATTATTTTTGTTTATATTTATGTTATGAAATTTGAATATTTGATTGGTTATATGACTTATTATAGGTTGTTATATGTATTAAATATAAAGTATATTATATATTTTAAAATATTATTTAATATCAAAACGTGTCCTAACATGTCGAAATATGACATTTTTTAGAATTAACGTGTCGGCGTGTCGTGTCGTGTCCCGTTTCAGTGCCGGTGCATCATAGCACTGATCAATAATTTTTTATAAAAATTAATATCATATGAAATATTTGAAGACTTGTATTTTTGTCGAATAATATTTTACAGTATATTACCAAATATTGAATGATATTATCTTATACAATATATTATTGTATATAATATCATGTCAAACGTTAGATAATATTAAAATTTAATCAGATCTTATATAATTAAATTTTATATTATCAAATTTTATACTATCAAATATTTAATATTGTGCACCAAAAAAAAAAGAAATAGTTTTCTTCTGCCAACAATTTAAATTCTGTGTTTCAGTAATTTATAAAAGAAAAAAGTGGAATGCTGGCCACAAATTGGCCAATAAGGTTGGCATCGTGTCCTGAGCAGCACGGGTTATTAATTTAAAATAACTTATGACGTAAGGTATTGCGTAATCTATGCTTATTAATAAAACAGTTAAAAAAAACCATCAACAAATCCAACTATTAAGTATAATAGAAGCTTGGACCAGAGGAACGTGCAAATAAACAATGACATTTACTGATAATGACTCCAATACTACTTATAACATGAAAACGTATAGGTTTATCTAATTATTAACCTCTAACAGTGTATTTTTATTTATGTTTGTTTCTTCCTTTTACCTATATATACGTAAGAGAAACAATTATTTCAGTATAGGTTTTTATAAAATAGTATGTTTCTAGAAAGATGGCCACGCATGGAAGTAAGCATGCAACACTCCACCTCATTTTTTGTCGTTATAATTCTCTCTGTTTTCCAACGTTGTTTTCGTTTAGAAAAACTAGGGAAGAGGCTGGAAGCCCTCTAAGAAGGTAAAAAAACTCTCGATTCTCATTTTTCGTTTAAATTATTTTTCAAAACACTTAAAAAAAAAAAAACCTCAAATGATCACTCAAAAAGGTCAAATCCTTATTTCTAATCCACATTTGAAATCTAAAGTAGGCCTTGAGTCATTATCCAATTAGATAACCTCAAGAAAAGACTCCGACAAAAGGGGGTTCGAATGATCTCAGACTTGGACTTGCGTGCAGGTTTGACAAATGTCATTAGCATTTGTAGAACAGATTTGACAATTGACTTTTATAATTAGTTAAAAAGCCCCTGAGATAAAACAATAAAAAGGTGATATCTGATATGAAGAAATAACAAGACAATGATTGGATTGTAAAGTAATGTTCTTGTCAATAATAGAAACTTAGCGGGATTAATATATGGGTTTATCTAGTCTCATATTGCATGAGAGAAAAAATCTTATGTTGTAAACACATAGTGGTGGGATCTACTATCTAAAAAATAAAAAAGAAAGAAAAGAAAAATATTGCACGATTATCGAAGAGTGTGTAGGAAGAAAATTTATCTCATGTGACATGAGAATAGTTTTTCCCTTAAATTGTTTGAATTTTTCGTTTATTAATAGTCAACTTTATCATTAGCGTGTTAGGTCAAAGTATAGGAAATCTCCTTCAATGGTCTAAAGGAGAAACCACCCCTTCATCAACGGGTTAACTAACAGCATTTAAACCACACTATTAGACTTGAGATCACATCTTATTCTTATCCATAAGACCATAACCTTATTGCAATTAGTCTATAAATATTTTCACTAATAATATCCTTACTAAATCCATTTCCACTTAATAGGCCCAACAATGATAATTTGGGTAGGCTTGAGTCTGGTCAAATTCAGATGTGTTTGCATTTAATTGCAATCATATTTCATTAATCTTGGACATGATTTCGGCCCAATTTATCAAGGACCACAATTTCTACTCCCATTTAGGTCAAACCTTTAACAAAACAGGATTTTCTTAATATTAATTTTATTGGGCTTCCATGGACCAGATCTTGGCCCATTCATCACGGACCCCATTTTCTTCGTCCATACCCTAATTTCTCCTGTCTCCACTACCTCTCTCTCTATATATAATGCGGATAATCTTAAACCCTAAATTCCACAACCGCATCGAAGGTTGCAGGTTTTTCCTCGTTCGATCTCGATTCTTCTTTTCTTGTTTCATTGCTCCCTCTTTTTCTCTCTTTAGGTTCCTCTCTTATTTACCGATTAACACCAACGTTTTTCCTTTTTTCTTTTTTATTCAATTGTGTTCCGCGAATGTTGAGTGCCTATGATGGGTTTAAATATACTCTGAGGTTTATTTCTATGAAATCAATTTCGATCTGAGGCACCGACTTTATCTCCATTATTCTTGTTCAAAAGTATATGAAAGTGCTGAAAGGGTTTTGCTATGCTACTGATGAAGCTCATGCTTCTTTTCTTTTTTTTGGTTCCTTTTATGATTATTTCTGTGCTTGAGTAGTAAATGCTATCTGTGTTTTTATTTAGTGTAACGCTTGACTAGTTTATGTTCAGTCTTTATCTGTGTTCTGCTTTTCTGAAAAACCATGTTTGTAGTTTGCAAAAGCACTTGTTATGCGCAAATGATGACAAAATAGACAGGGACATCAGCACTCCAAAGGAGATTGATGACTTCGTCTGATGGGAATCTCTCTGATGCGTTCATACAAATTGTATCTGTTTCTGAGCTGCCTTTGAAAAAAAATGTGTTTTATTTGGAGCTTGGACGTATTTAGTTCTCGTTATAAATGTTGTATTCTTTTTTTCTTGGAATGATCTTATGGTTTGTAGCTTGTAAAAGGCCATGTTATCTAGTGTTCCACTTTTTTTTTACATTTGTTATACCGTATGCAAATGACGACAACTTAGACAGGGACATCTGTACTACTATGTAGAAAATGATGATTTGTCTTTGGGATTATCTCTGATGCATTACGAATTTCAGAAATGTTGAATGCATTTAAAAAGTATTTCATGTAACTCATGCATTTAGTAAATGAGTGGTTGAGAAATCTTATACTGATTTAAGCGACGGTTTTAGATTATGTGACTTTTTTTTTCTTCAGTTTATGCATTTATCATTTTTGAATTAACTTCTCATATGATTTTAAAGTATTTTGAAAACTCATTGGTCTATTGATCCTTAAGTCTTCCAATAACTTGAATTTTGTTGCCTTTTTCATTCTATATTACTTTTGGAGAACTGGATGTTAAAAAGCATATCTTTTTGTTAACCCCTTTTTATTGTGTGCAAATGGAACTACATTATCGAAACAATATGTTTGGTAGTTTGGGTTATGTTGAAACAATATTTTGGTATCAAACCAGGGTATGAGGGTAGAATGAGTAGAATTAAAAAAAGTCTGGGTTACTTGTGTATTTTGCTGATTGGATCCTTTTTTGGAATTTGAATTTGTATGAGATTAAGTATATTGTATATTTTTAAATTATATTTTATTATATTTCTGTTTCTTACTATTCACGATACACTATACAAAAAAACAGGCCAAACAATACAATACGTATTGTAATTCAGCAACCTTGGTTTACTCAATCATATCTCAAACCTTGGTTTGCAAACTAAAATCCAAACACTCTATTTTACCTGCAGAGATCATATATTCAGTACTTATTAATGATTTTGGCCAATGATGTACTCAATTACACGTAATACCAGATGTGTTATTTGATGATATCTTAATTGTCACTACCTCTGAGGCCATATGTTATTGTGAATATATTGTCTCTGTTGTGACATTTGATCTTGCACATCTTGTTATTTCTGCCTATCATTATGTTACAAGCTTGATGATTGTCACTAAGAACGGAGATTTGAATGTTGCATTTGTTGTAGCCTGATTTTCTTTGGGCTCCAAAAGCAGCTTATGTAATAAATCGTCCTATATTGGTATTAATGAAGGCTTGTAATGTGTCTCTTCAATGTTATACAAACTGACTTGGACTTGTCAGTTCAACCTTGAACTGGTGAACCGGTCATTGACTGGTAATGTTCGAGTATCAACATGAATTGTGGTTTGATTCAACCTTTTTTTTAAAAGATGGTCAACAGGACATTTCAATAAATCCAGACAAATCAAGAAAATCTGATGGTTCATCAAAATCAGGATGTGATTTATTGTAAGCCCGGTTGGTTTGCCTGGACCAAGTCAATTCTGTTGAACCTGTTGGTTTGCAGAAAACAAACTGACAGTTTGCGCCCTACCGTGCAACTGCAGATATGCTCCAGGTCTCCAGCAATGCGGGGAGAGACCGGTCGTTCTTTGTCACAATTTCGATATATTTTTGCTGACTCATATTTATCCCGCTGCCTCTTTTTATTCTTAGGCTTTTCCCAGTCTCACGCTTTTTATGTTCAATGCCACGGTCTTCTGGTCTGGAAGAAAGCAAATATTTGTTTATAATGGCTTCTGATTTTGAGAGTGGTGAGCTTTTGTGTCTCGCGTTTAAACTTGTATTTCTATAGTGTGTTAGTTGAATTGAGACTCTCGTATCGAGTGTAATGAGAAATGAACATTATCACCCCCAGTGTTTGTGTGTTTTGTAAAGTGTAAACCTTGGGGTGAAAATTCTCTTTTCAATTTGTTGTCTTTTTCATCTCTGTACTTTTCAATAGCGAAAACTTGTAAGATGTCGGTGTTTGTACATACTTTCAGTTTCATAGTTACCAATTCAGAATATTTCTCCGCCTCCCTACTTTTGACTACAATTGGCTAAGGAAATTACTCAGTGTTTGAATTATCAGCTTTCTTGGTCAAATGGGAAGTGCTTGGCTGATGGGGAGTGGATGAGGTGTGAAACTTGAGGGGTATGTGGCGGGCATGCAAGAAGTGTGAAAGAAAGTAGTTTGAAAATTCTGAAGTTGGTGTAATCGATTAAGTCAATAATTTTAGTGTAATCGATTAAACAGGAATAAATTTATATATAGTTTTGAAACGAGGTCAAAATGGTTATTTTTTAATTATTAAAGGACAAAAAGCCGATTCTGCCTTCTATGTTATGGAATAGGATATTAAAATATATTATTTATGGTTGAACTACATGCATATAATTTAGTAGGATTTTTACATGTATCATTTCTATTACTATTATAACAATTATTATAAGGCGTTAATTTTGAATTTTAAAAGTTAAAGTAATTAGTAAACCAGTTTTAAAAGTTAAATGAAAAAAAAATTTAACTTATGTTTTTAGGATAAAAGCAAATCTTAAAATGTATTTTTTTAACTTATATGAAATTGAACTAATTATGACTTGAGTTTTAACTGTTTTTTATTTTATTATCCACAATTTTTATGTACTGTAATCTTAATGAATACATAAATACGATGGATAATAAATTAAGCCATATGAAAATAAGGAAATCATATTTATAATTAATAAGAGTCATTAATATTTGAAAGTAAAAGTTAATATATTATTTTTTAAATAATAATTAATATTTTATCATTTAAATGAAGGATTTTATTTATGTCATGTTGTAGAATACTTTTAGCGTCGTATTATTCTAATACATTTGATGTGGGTTTCATTTAAAAAAAAAAAAGTTCGGTCCTTTTTTATGAGAGTAACATGCCACTAAGTGCCTGTTTGGATCTTTTTTTTTTAAGTTAGAAGCTACATAAGCATAATTTAGGCCAAACAGGTTTTGAGAAAAACTCTTATAATGAAATTTTTTTTTTTTTTATAATGAAGAAAAAAGCTGAAAACTAAAAGCTCCTAGGAGGAGCTTTTTTTTAAGCTCTTATCTGTTTTTCGTGAATTTTGTGTTTTTTTTAAATAAAGAGTGATAAAGATGGAGAGAGAGATAATTTTATTGAAATATGTGCTTTTAAGTAATTTTTAAGCTAAGTTTTTTATGTAATTTTTAAATAGCTTTTAGCTTCTTTTTTTAAGTTTTTTTTTTAACTTTAGCTTATAAGTAGCTTATAGCTTAAAAATAAGAGGATCCAAGCAGGCTCTAAAAGTATTTATAATATAACATATATAAAAGGAAAATATTTTTCTTATGTTGCAGGAAAATAGTTACCTCATGTTGTAGAAATAAAATTACAAATGAGACCCACAGATAAGAGGAGAGAGAAAAAAAATGGTGGGACCCAATCTTTTTTTGTGTGTGTAGAAAAATTGATGATCCCATGTGAAATGAGATAAACGTAACTCTATATAAAACCCTTAAATGAAATTAAATAAATCGACTACACTCAACCTTAGAGTCGCTAAGGCTTTACGAATAGTAACCACTGGCTATGTTATGGAAATACTCAAATATATATATATATATATATATATATATATATATATATATATATATATAAATAGTATTGAATAAATGTTATGTTTAATTTAAAATTATAAATAAAAAAATGAAACCGTACTTGTCAAAAGTGAATTTGAAGAAGAAAAAAAATCATACATAATTTGTCTAAGGTTAACAATACATATATGGAAGTAAAAATGTAAATGGGTCGGCCGGTTTAATATGGGCTTACATATCGACTTATATCAAGCTAAGCTCGGCATATTATACATAGTAAAATAAAACTGGCTCATACCTCAAAAAATAGTTATTTAGAAAGCATGCCATTGACTTTTTTTTACTTGTCAGAACTATACCTATATTATTATAATTATTTTAAATAATATAAATAAATTATTATTTTAATAATTTTGGATAATAAAGTAATATTATTTTAATTTTTTTTAATTATTGAGTGATTAATAGAATTAAACAAACAAATAGACCTAGGTCAAAGCTTTTGTTTTTTAATTATAGGTCAGATTAGACTTATAATTTGGACCTACACAAGACTAACAGACCAGATCAGGTCTAAAGTATTTTACACAGTCCTAGCCTCTTTAAGGCAAAGCCTAACCGAACGCAACCTATTTACATCCATACATGGAACTATTTTATAGAATAGTAAATGGATGTCAACTCCTATGATCGGTGTTTCATATTATGGGAACATTTGAGATTCCCAAAAAAGTGACATTGCATATCTGATTTACATATGTTTGGTACATTGGAGTGTAAAATTTTTCTTGAAAAAATTACAATCTCAGGATTTTACTTTACACACAAAAATTCCAAACCAAAATGATATCTTCGGTGTGGTCATCCTTTCTTGATGGTATGAAATAGGACTTAAGAAATGGTTAGGATACCAGTTTTTGGCTGGACAATTGGACAGGTCTAGCAAGGAATCTTCTTTCTTTTGCTACATCTCCTCCTCCTGTAGAAGATTTGCGTAAACCTGTTAGTGATCTGGTTATTAACAGAACTGGTAAGAGGAATGTTAACTCTTGCAGCATTACCTGGATGATGATACCATTTCGGTGCTTAATGGTATTCTGGTGCCCAATGAGGAGGATGGTCAAGACCAGTTAATTTGGAAAAACTCCCAGCCAGGAAGTTCTTTGGTGACATCTGCTTACCGAGGTCTTTTAAACTTTCCTTCTTATCCTCCTAACAATGTTTGGACGAAAATGTGGAAATGGAAAGGCCCTCCCAGAATTAAAACCTGCATATGGTTAATCTTACATGGTCGACTTCTCACAAAGAGTGTCACTGGTCGTTGGAATGGCACGAGCATCTATTGTTCAGTTTGTACTGAGGAAGTGGAAACAATGTTGCATACTCTTCGTGACTGCAAACATGCAAAATTGGTGTGGGATAAACTAATTTGGCCACGTTGTGCATTCCAATTTTACAGTTTGGATGCAAGGAGTTGGGTGGATAGTAATCTCACTTCCACGTGGGGTCCAGGTAATTGGCAAGGAATTTTTTTAATTTCTTGTTTGTTTATTTGGAATTGGAGAAATAAGTTAATCCATGAGGTGAATTTCAGTTTTTCTGCTCATCCTGAAACTGTGATAAGAGTTTATGAGTCAGAAATTAATAGTTGTAGAGCTT